TCAGATATCTCCCGAAAGTTTCTAATAATCATTTAAACATTATGCAAATAAAAAGTCAATTGCGTTCACGAAATTACTGTTCTTGCTAAAGATAAGTTTATTCGTAGAAATTGAAAACTGCAATAATTCTACGTAACGGTTGTGAACTTATTTATTTATTATGCATTGGTATCCATGGATTCGAAATCGTTAAATTTACCTAAGCCTATTTCTGTTTTTCTGAAATCACGAAACATTTCTCTAAATATTTAACTCATGAAATTTCACAATCGGATTAAAGATATACTGAAAATGTATAGGTCATATTTAAAAAAAAAAGCGATTGTAAGTATATAAATATGCAAGCAGTGACTTTCTCATGCAAAGAATATTTAAATTTTTCAATTCTACTTAAGGAAAATTTTTGATACTGGAAATTTAAACTGGCAATTTTCGAGCTTTTTACATGAAAAAGAAACATTAATATGCAAAAAATAAAATTATGTTCTTAATTATTAAGTTATTCAAACATTACGCGATATAATTTTTTATTTTCAAGTTTGCTTTACAGAGTCACAAAAAATTTGCAAGCTGAAGGTTTTTTTCCTGGTTCATATTTTTAAACTCTTTCTATTATGCGATTCTTCAGAAATTTTTGTTTGATAATAAACAGTGCTAATGTGCTTTTCTGATATTTTAGTAACATTTATGTGATGAAAATAATAATAATAAATAATAAAAAAGCCAAGTTTAACTTCACCATGTGGATTTAATAGCATAAAACAATTCTATTTTCAAAAACCGCAAGTAACATCGCGATTGAATATTATGGAGACGTTTTAATTTGGGAAAGATGTCAATTGAAAGTTTTATTTATGCAAATAATAACAAAAAATGTACAATGCAGAAATATCTCTACTTAGCTACTTCAGTTAGTATAATGGAAATTTTGTTGAAGATGTAAAATAATTCATGATGAAAGGCTAGAAGATGCTGATGGTTTCTACTAGTTTGATGTAATTGAAGGAAAGGCAATATTTATAGAATATTTATCCAGAATATGATGATTATCACAAGTTAAGACGCTGATGAATGATGTAAAAATTCCGTTGAATAAGTTGACATATTTATTTTATTTCGCCACAATAAATTAATGAATTTGTATTGAATTAAAAAGTTAGTCGTTACATTGATTATTAAGAATAGAATGAAATATTTCTATTTGTTTACTATAAAATTTAAGAAAATTAAATAATGTGTTTAATATAATAAAAGTCAGAGTAATAATGATTAAGAAAGTTAAATTTATGATATTAAGGAAATTTTTGAAAGCTAGAAAATATTTAACGTCTATTACGGCATCACAGTTACCAACTTAGTTATTACCTATTAATTTTAATTGTTTGCAGAGCATTCAAATTTGAACCGTAGCTCTGAACTGAATAATCATTCAGCATATTAGTTTAATTTTTTTTTCTTACTAACAAATAGTTTAGCATTTTATTACTAAAAGGAACTTATCATCAATCAAAATTTTAATCACCTTCCGACTAGCTTTCATTTTAAATGGAATTCGTTTCTTGCTTCCAATATAAATTTTACCAGTTTCCTTAACATTGTAAGTAAATTTTACATTCATTTTTTATCCAATCGACATTTTGACAATGAGACATAAAGCTAAAAAAAGAAAAAGTTAAAATAAGAATTATTAAATCTACGTTTTTCAACGTGGATGAGAAGCGCGGAGAAAGTACTTTTATGAAAACTTAAGGGGAAAACGTAGAGATCAGTTTTGTTTTAAATTATAACCTCTATTACGACCAGAAATTTTAAGAAAATAAAACTATTCTTAAAATGGATGTGTAATACATTGTTCGTTTAAAAAGCGACAGACATATTTTCTTTTTTGATCATTTGAAAAATTTGCCATATAATAGTATGAAAACAAAACTTATTTTTGAACACTCTAAATATATGTATTTTAGCTATATAACGATATAAATCTGAATTTAATGCTACAATTTTGGTTTGTTTTCAAAAGGAAAGCTTTTAAATTTTATCACAAAAAATAATAAATACATTTTTCATTATTATTATAATAATATATTATTATAATGTATTTCTGCAGCTGCAAATTAAATTTTATAAGGGGTGAAAAAACGTTTGGGAGTGATCAAATAATTCAAGAACTATACATCAAATCAAAAAAGTGAAATTTGAAATCTTAAATATAAACACCTATTTTTTATTGCAGATTCAGACTCTCCAGAAAAAATATATCTAATCTGACTTGTAGGCTTGCTCATTTTGCAGAACAAGCACCAGTAAAGACTTACTCATTAGCTGTAGCCGAAACTGCTTAAAATGGTCGTATTTTGAGACCCATCAAATTGAAACATGTATAAACACATAAATAAAAATAAAAACAATTCGATTAATAAAAAAATCGATAAAATATTTAAACATATCTACCTTTTTAATAATCCGATGGGTCCCGCTTTTTCAATAAAAAATGGGAGGGTCATGTTTAGAATTTCAGAGGTTGCTCCCTATTTTTCCCAGGGATGTCGTATGTGGTTGTTCACGTTTTGTATCATTCGTTAGCTTTTAAAAAAATATGCTTCGATTTTCACTTATTTCAAGTATATTTTTCGAGATATTTGATTGCTTCCAAACCTTTTTTTACATTATGTATATTCGCCTTAATAATGGCAATAGGAGACAATAACATTCCAATTTTAAAATTTAAATAAATACGTGATTGTTAATATACCAACTTTTTTGATAGGAATATTTAGCGAACTTGTAATTATGGCATCAAACTTAGCACATTAATATGGTCTAATTAAGTTTATTTTGGATAACTAGATGGCGACACTGAAATGGTCGTGAAAATTTATTTTTGTAAACTTTATATTTTATCGAGTAAGCCATTTTTCAAAATTTAAAAAACCATTTTTCAAAAATTAAAATTAATGGGCATTGAGCTTTCTTTTGTAACTTACATCAATCACGTTAACTTTCTTAGATAACAATTTTGTTCCGATTTGTTCTGCTCTTACAATTTTATTTTTATTAATATCGGCTTATAAAATTTATTTATTCGTATATGTACGTACTACCTTATGTAACACAAGAGAAAATAAAAAACTTGTTCTTAATTACCAATAAAATGCTAAGATAGGAAGGGAAAAAAAAATTTCTCCATTTTTTAAATTCCGTTCATTATTATTGAACCAAAAATAATATTACTTTTATGCTTAGTACAGATATTTTCGAAGAAAATTTAAATAAAACAATACATCAAATAGTTATAATATTATGTGAACGTGTGATTAATTGTTTAATAACATAAATAAGCTAGTTTCTTAGAATTTAGGTTTTAATCTGAATTCTAAGAATGTAGATTAATTAAAAAATTAAGTTAAATCTTAGAATTAATTTTTAAAAAAAAGATTAATCAAAGAAGGATTAATTAAAAAAAAAGTTAAATCCTTAGTGTCTAAAGCAATTTTTTCTTGCAATAATTTTTTCACCCAATTACAAAATTATTTGAGTTTCATTTCAACAATATGTGCTAGTAGTTTGAAAACTATAAAATTCAATTTCTTAGCTACACTTCGTGCAATTTTTATGCCAATGCTTGAAACTTAAAATACTATAAAAAAAAAAGAAAAAAAATTCAACAAACTGTGGAAATTTAAATTTTTGTACAATAAACATTCTAGCAAAGAAAATTTCAAAATAAGCACAACTTTGAGTGTGTTTTTTTTTTCAATTTAATTACTTATTTAAATGATAGAGAGAGAAAAAAATTGAGTTTGCTATTCTCAATAGTTTTTCATTGGAGCTTACCTATTAATACCCAAGTTACAAGATGTCAAAAATGCTTTATGTAAAGAATAGCTTTATAACTTAAATATAAAATACTGTAGGAATTTTTTTTTAATCCACTCTTACAACAATTTCGAGACTTAAAGTTGTTTTACTTAACTTTGTAATTTAATGTGTTTCGCGTCAACGAAGCATTATCATTCTAAACTAATTTAAAATCAAATATTTTTGGTTTAATTATTCTTATCATTTTGAATATATTTACCATCGATTTTTATTTTTTCTTCTGATTTATTGGTCATTGATTATTTTACTCCTTTACCTTAACGTTCCTCAAACTTAATTCTTCTTGCAAATCTTCAGTTTAAAATACGAAAAAAAGTTTTTCTTTTTTGAATTCAAGTACTTTCTTTTTAATTTAATTATTCAATTAATTTAATTATTTATTTATTACATTCAGAAGGGAAAATTTGAATTATTGAAAAGTTGTTTTCGCCTTTAATACATGATTTATAAAACTAACATTTTTAACACTCTTCCTTCTTGCTTCCGTCAAAATAGCAGGTTCAAGTAAAGCTCTCTATTTTTCTTGCCCATGATATTTCCGGGCTGGAGTGCTCAAAAGTAACGTGGAAAAAAGATTAAAACAATCTAGTTCTTATGACGAGAATTATGTTTATTTCTCGATCTATGCATCAGATGGCAGTACCAGACTTTGTAATTTGCTTAGAGATAATAAGTTTATTTTACAGGAGGTGGTCAACACTTATCAAAAACCGAGCATTTAAATTTCAAAGTGCATTACGCTATTGGTCGAAATTAACATTTCTGCTTGACAGATAAACTTTAGAGCTCATTTACCCACTATATTCTTCCATTGTGCGACAATTATTACCAATATGACTTATTTAAAATTTGATTTCTCAGAAACTATTCACCCGATTTCACTCAAATTTCGTATTTTACCATGGGAAACAACATACTTTAAAATAATGTAAAAAATCGTGAAAATTACAATTCAAAATTTTTTAGACTGCCATGAAGTAAAAATAATAAATCTTTAATAAATATATTTTTTGCATGGAATTATCTTTGGATAAACAAGTTTTATAATTGTATAAAAAAAAACTTACAGTTCTCTTTAAAAAAGTTCTTAAGATATTGCGAAATACGTAAAAAGTGAAATTAACATAATATTTCTAATTTTCGGATAGCTCCCCTAACCAAATTATGGGGAATATATTTCCCAGGTTGCGGCTACCGCCTGCATTTCGAGGGCCGAAAATCCGAATCCGGTGAAAAAAGGTATGTTTATTCGGATAAAGTACGTTTTTTGTGTCTGATTATTTAACTTAAGTCTACACTAATTTATTAAAATATTTGTGGTCATTCCCTCGAACTGATACGTGAAGATCCAATCATTACAACAAAAGTTATTCAGGGTGGTCCGTTTTTTTTTTCGGCAAAATGTACACATACTTAATTCCATTATATTTCTCTTTGAATAAAAAATAGGCATTTTTATGACAGTTTTCTTCAAAATTACGCTCTCATTTACGGGTTAAGTAATTCAGCTTAATGTCACAAGGAAAATAATAAAACGCAAATTTTAAAGCAATAATAGTCTAAAAAATTTTATGATGCAATTATTTTGTTGCAATGTCAAAATTATTAATTAAACAAAGGTTCATATCAGAGGTATTTCATTTTCCTCAAAGAATAACCCATAAGTAAAAACGAATTTAATTTCAAGAAAATACGATATTATAAAAAAAAACTATTAATTCATAAGAAAATTGACTCTCTTAAAACAATTTACATTTATTTACATTCAATAAATACTTTACAACAAGTATATAGACATATATAAAACTCTTTTTTTGTAAAAATAGTCATCAATAAATACAACAGATTTTAAAATAATACAATATGTTTTCTTCTACAATGGGAAGAATACATAACAGTTTAAAATTTTATTTACAATAATATTTTGGCAAAATATTTAAATAATAATACTTTTATCCAAATAAAAAAGCTTTTTTTTATGCTGTTGAAAAGCACTTTTTGCACAAAAATTAAGTGCCCTCATCAGCTTCGTGACAATTAATTTAAGTGCTTCGGAACACAAAACGTGTTTTTGTTGTGTTGATTGTCATTTTTTTTATGTAGTTGCAAAAATTTGTTTTATGCAGTTGCTTCATGGGCAATACCACATACTTATTAAGAAATAAGTTTTTAGGAGAAACTTAAAACATAATTCAAGTGTAAAAATGCATTTTAAATTTTAAGGTGTTATAAATTTAAAAAAACATCTTTAAGTCTTTAAAAAGATACACTTCATAATAAAAATTTTTGCAAGAAAACAAACTAGATTTTTTTTTTAAAAAAGATTTTCTTTTTTTTCAAAAAAAAAATATTATTAAAAAGATAAATAAACGGATTTAAATTATATAAGTTATAAATATATTAATATAATATATTAATATAAAATATATAATTATAANATCCAAATAAAAAAGCTTTTTTTTATGCTGTTGAAAAGCACTTTTTGCACAAAAATTAAGTGCCCTCATCAGCTTCGTGACAATTAATTTAATTGCTTCGGAACACAAAACATGTTTTTGTTGTGTTGATTGTCATTTTTTTTATGTAGTCGCATTTTTTTTTTTGTAGTTGCTTCATGGCCAATACCACATATTTATTAAGAAATAAATTTTTATTAGAAACTTAAAACATAATTCAATTTAAATAAATAAGTGTAAAAATGCATTTTAAATTTTTAAGGTGTTATAAATTAGTCTTTAAAAAATTCACTTAATAATAAAAATTTTTACAAGAAAACAAACCAGTTTTTTTTTTAAAAAAAACGATTTTTTTTTCAAGAAAAAAACATTATTAAAACGATAAATAAACGGATTTAAATTATATAAGCTATAAATATATTAATATAATATATTAATATAAAATATATAATTATAAATGACATTTACTTTCTTCTAAAATGAATTAAATAAAAATAATTTAAATGTCTTTAAAAATTGTCCCAAAACTTATCGATAACATTATTTATTTATTTTGAAATAGACAAAAACGCTTTTTAATATAACCAAAAACAAGCAATATTATTTTAAGGTCTTAGATTAGACCAATAATGAGGAGGACAAAGTCCTTTTATTCTATTAGCACGAATAGACACGTCTATGATGTTATTCCCTAAGAAGTAATCCGTGGCGACAATATTAGCTTTATGCCAGAAGTGATCCCTAAACCAGTGTGTAACATTCCTGTTAATTAAATCTGCCAAATATCGCAATCCAGTCTCTGGGTGCAAAATAATTGTTTTGGCATTTGGTGTCAGTTCAGCCATAGAGGCCCAGAGACCCTCAGGAGCCGATTTTTCGAACACTTCTTCAAAATATGATTTCAGATCTTGTGGGTGCTGCTTGTTACCCCATGCCCTCTCTATGCTGGGCCACATCAGGTTTTGGAAATACTTTTCCCTTATGGGATTGTCATAACTCACCAGGACTCTCTTATTATGTTCCCACAAGTAACTAAAAAGGAAATTCAAAAAAAATTTATTGTATCAAAATTTCAATTTTTTTTAATTTATTCATATATAGAAATGGAAATCTGAGTGTTCAAAAGCTAACTAATATGTTTTCGTAAAAAAAAACTTAAATATAATTTTTTTAAATTAGTAACTTTTTTGAGTTTCTTATTAGTGGTATTAAAATGATTTCTCTTAATTTATAAGACTGGCATATCTAATGAGTTATCTAATGTACAACTAGCTTATCTAATGTACTACATTACACATCTTAATACACTTTTTATTCAATAATCGGATGGCAATGTACAAGAATGGTAAAGACATTTCTGGTAGAAGAAACGAAAACTCCGGTATTTAAACCAAAATAAAATTTGCAATTGTCAAAAATACAAAACCAAATATAAATTCGAATAAATTAGCGTATTTAAATTTAGATCCCCGAATCATTAAGATTGAATTCTAGTACGTGAAAATCTGATCATTAGAACAAAGGATATTTAGTGTAATCCGTTTTTTTTTCCTGTACTGTTTTTTTGCTGTACATGGGGTTCCGATCATTAGATCAAAATCCGATTATTAAATCAAAAGTTATTTGGGGTAATCTTTTTTTCACTTTCCTGCTCATTTTACATGGTGTTTGCAAGCTTTTATGTAATAGAATGCTTGTAAAATATAAATAAAATAATACACTTTAGGAATCATATGTTAATATTTAAGGGAGAAAGTAAGAAAAACGTAATCTCTATATGCAGAATAACTAGTGAGGTAAGCGGAATAAAATATTAAAACCATTTCGATCGGCGTGGAGAGAAAAAAATCCGTAAAATTACTATAATTCCGTAAATAACATTTCTGGTTTATAAACAACAATAATTCTGGTTATCAAAATATGCGGTTTTTAAATCATTCATTTAGTAATTTCACCATACGCTATCGTATTGGTTTAGAGGAAATTCGTATTTTCAAAATTAAAGTTCTTATTATCATACATTAAGTAGTGAATGCAAAACTGAAAATTAAATTTAACTAAACAAATAGTTTTTATACCTTTCGATAAAATTTATAAAACGTCCTTCAGTACTGTTAATCATTTTCCCATTTATTTGGTAATTTTAACCTTTTGATGTCGATGCCGTTTACCAAATGAAATGGTAATAGACTCTTTGCACTTCTATAGTTTGTTTAAAAGGGTGTGTTATTTAAATAGTTCATTGGAGTTAGAAGATTGTTAATTACTTTTTATTCTAATATAAATTCTCAATTATGGAAAAGGGTAAAGGAACATGATTGATAGCTTCGAATATTTAATTAGTATTTTAAAGTCAGATATATCAAATTATGGTGACTGTTTTGTCAATCGTTTATGGCAATAGCGAGATTTACTTATTTATGTATATGCACATGTGGGTTGCTTTGTAAATAGAAATAATGTCTTAAAAATTCTTTTCTGTTTAAAAAATAGATAGTATTATAGAGTGATTCGAACCAACTACATCTACCACATTTGGTCAGGCAATGATTAAGGTGGAAGATGAATTGAAAGTTTGAGGCTTTTACAGTTAATTTTTCACTTCGCATATTTTACTTTAATTCCACAACTATTTTACTGATTCGAAATAATTTTACAAGCAATTGAAAAAACTATTCCTTAGATAATATCATTAAATAAATTTCGTGTAAAATACTACTTTAAAACATTAATTATTATTTTATTTAATGACGGAAGAAATATTTCTATATAGTATATTATTTTTATTTAGTTTTCTTTAAATATATATAAAATAAATATAGTATAAAATATATTAATATCAATACATAATATATCAATACAGGTATACGTAATTTTTTATGTGTGTTCGTATATTAAACTTACGAAAAACAGTTCGACATAAATCTTTTAATTGTTTTTTTTATATTGTTTAGCATAAGACCATGAAGGAAGATAATTTTTATAAAGGTTTACTGTTTAATTTTAAACTATGTTACACACAAATAAAAATTCAGAGTTCAAAGACGTTTCGATATTAATAAAACCTTTAAAGGACAAAACTACATACCTCATAGTTGCATTTTTGTAGTCATCTGTCGTTGGTATTAGGAAAGGTCCAAAAAACCTAATAATCATAACAATTAATTTTTCATGTATTTCTTCACTATTGAAGCCGATTGGAAAATTGTGAAAATCTAAAATGATGATTTCTTTCTTTGTGACTCGTAGGAATTGTAATACCTAGAAAATAATTCCAATTTTAAGTATGGGTTTATATTTTATATTGAATCAGAGCATAAAATGCACGCTGTATTACGTTTAGCTAGAACATATCTCAACAACTTCTTCCGCAAATAGAAGTTCCACTCAAACCGATTATAAAACTCTTTTCTAGTCAGATTACGAACAAAAATTATTTAGTTTTTTTTTTTCATTTTAATTGATCAATTCACAATTGCTTACATCTACTAAAGCTATGCAATTTTAAAGGACAAAATCTAAAATATGAATCATAATATTTTTATGAAGTCATAATCCATTTACATGTATTTCTCTCATGTTTCTATAATATGGTTTTATTAGTGAGACAGGCGAAAACTTTCCTTTCAATTGGAATCTTTTATAGTATTGTGATAAAGAACGAACGCCAAATTTGAATTATGAAGTCTCTGAAAAATTCTTGAAACCACTTTATATTGAGTGCGGACCCAATTTTATAATTTTAATTGTAGCTGTTAGGATGATACCACGCTGAGTTGTGAACAAACCAAATAACAAACTATTCAGAATAAATAAGGTTAGAGATCCTCTAGCATTTTAGGTTACATTTAAGTACGTGAAAATGTAATCACTAAATATAAAGTAAATTCCTTTTTAAAGGTGTTTTATCTTTAATTTACTGCATTGTGCATTCAGATAACTCCACTGTGTTGAGATCTAAATAATCATTTCATGAAAAGTTAGCAAAAATAACTTACTTGTCTTAAAACTGATTTAACTGAATGTTCTGTTCTCAGGAAATTGTGATTGATATAGTACTTGTCTTCGCAGTATTTGTAATGGCCCACGCGCAGATCAAAATATCTTAATCCATACACCATCTGCGTGAATATATTTTCTTCTTGTGCGTATTTATACTTCGTTAAGGGACCACTTTCCTTGTGGTAGTAAAAACTGCCAGAATCATGACTTCCAGGAATCATAATCTCGCTCAATTTCAGATGAGATAAATAATCACTGTTTTCTTCCATCCAAAATGGCTGGATTCGTAAACAGGATGAAGAAAGAACTTGACCTAATATAAACAAAATATTGCATTCGTAAAGTTGCATAATTTAATTCAAAACCTCATAAAAAAATACCCAAGTTAGAGAAAACTGTGAACAATTGCATGGAAATAAGACGTGGAAGTTTTTAGGTAATTATTAAAAAAAAGATAAATAAGATTGAAAGTAAAATTTAAAAGCAGTTGAAACATAAAGAATAGTTAATGAGATTTTACATACATGGTCAATGGGAAGATTTTGCATTTTAACGTTTCATTCCGGACGCTCCCACTCACAGGATTTGAGGTTATTACACACGCGCACTTAAAGTGCGCATGCGTCAGTTCTGTTAAAATGTGCAATCGCCTCGAAAAAAATATTAAACTTACGTTAATAAAAATTAGAGATTTTGTTAAAACCAGTATGTTAACCCCCCCCCCTCTAACGTTACAGAATATCATCTTAACTACAATCACAAGATTTAAAATTTGCAAGGGACGCGAATATTGTGAAAGAAGCTCTTTCCTACATAACTTGTGTAATTAAAATAAACAAATACAATTTTAAAATAATGAAGAAATCAACCTTTTTATGGATCTTGAACAATTTGACATCCTTAATTTCATACTAAAATCAATAGCATTTATTTTTTTATTAAATCAACCAATTGCAGTTAAATCGCACGATTAACGTCAATATTTTGTAATAACAGTCCTCCATTTTCAATTTGTGTAGGCGCTCTTTATCGATGCATTTGTAACAGGTCCATATTGTAAGTTCGAATCTAGGCTTAAACTGCAAACAACATTCAATATCAACAAAGAAAGTGCTTGCAGTTCTGTAAAACCGCGCCAACAAAACGCAATAAATAAATAAATAAATAAATAACATGAGCATGCGCAGTTGCTAAGTCTTATGTGCGAGAACGTCCGAAATCTAACGTAAATTTGCAAACTTTCCCTATTATCTAATATTATCTACGTCAATTTATCCGAGCCATGGTGTCTCATGGGACAGAGCAGTCGTTTCTTAATGAGGTAACCTGGGCTCGAATCCCAGAGATGGCTGGTCGATACGAATTCCGCACCTAGCTCGCACCGACAAAAGTGCCGGCGTAAAGTATTTTCTGTGGTAAATGGATCATGAGTTAGAGTCCCCTTACCGCCAGGCTAACAGTGGGTGGTTTTCTTGGTTTATATGTGCATTTAACGCAAATGCATTGAAAACGCCCACCACTAAGGCAAATTTCTCCCAAAACTTGATCCAAGAAATCTCTTGTCTTCTGGATCTTTTTCAAACTTACAAGGTTACAGAGTTGATCATTAGTTGAGTCGGCAGTTTAAGGATGGTTATAAAATAAAATATATCGATTATACTTTTAGAAATGTTTTAATCATGTTAAACCAGTATAACGCTTAATTTTTCTGACAGTTAATATAAAGGAAATTTCGTTACACTTTATATTACAGGTAAAATATTCAAAGTAGACTCAAACACAAGTTATAGTACAAGTATATAATTTTGAGTAAAAGTAAATTATTTATCAGAATTACCTTTATTATTTTGATAAGCCACCCAGTATCCAAGACAATGATTTTCATGTAAGAATGTAGCATTCAAAATGATGACCGGGATGATGATATCGCTTCTGTAGAAGCCACCGGTTTGATCCAGAGGATGGATTGAAATGATGGAAGAAGCATTAGGATGGATGATGGGATCTGTGTTGAACACTGAGATTTTGTCCTCTGCTGCGGGAGAGCCCCCAAACCAATTTATTTCCAATTGTCTGTTGACGATTCCGTCTTCCGTTGTAGAAACATAGAGGGATGAAATGGTGAGAAAAACTCTTGTGTTTTCTCTCGAACTTTGAATCTGGTGACATCCTAAATTAAATATATAAATGAGTTCAATTAGTTCAACTCAATTAGTTTAATCTAATGATTAAAAATATATATAGAACGAAATTTGAAAAAAATAATAACTCAGAGGAAATGGGTAAAAATAATTTGTGGAAGTATACGAGTAGAAGAGATTAAGGCTATTGAGTTTTAAACCACACAATCTTCAGATAGCATGCGAACAGATATTATACAAATATTACAGTACAGATATTATAGTGCGAACTTCGCTTCGCTATGAGGCGAACCGGGTTTGAATCCGAGCAATGGCTGAGATTCGAATTCCGCACAAGGCTCGCACCAACCACAGTGCTGAAGTAAAATATCCCCAATGGTAGACGGATCATGGGTTAGATTCCCCTTACCACCAGGTTAACCGTGGGAGTCTTTCGTGGTTTTCCTCTATATGTAAAGCAAATGCGGGTTAGTTCCATCAAAATGACCTCCACAAAAGCAAATTTCTCCCAATACTTGATCCAGGAGTTCCATTGTTTTCTAGATTAAGTTCAAACTAGTGGGCTGCTCCCCCTGCTCGCTAACACTGGCCAACCCCCGAAAATTGCTACTGAATCTTATATGGTTTGCTTCGCAAACCAAGCTCGCTTCGCTCGCTACTAACTTAGGTACATTACAAATGCACAAAATTCTAAGAATTCAAAACAATCATTCAAAACCATATGGCAACTTTTTTTTAAAAAAAATTACATCTTTTTAGTAAATACTAAGTCATTAAAATAAATTTGAATTCGAATAAATGACATGCAATTCGTTAAACCTGTTAGAAATGTGCTGTAGTATAAAATCTGGAACTGATATCTCTTTAAAAAGGTTAAAATTTTGGCCATAATTAAGTCTATTAAAAATTGAATTAAGTGAATTGCAATGAAAAAACCTGCATAAACAAAACATTATGTTTTTAAAAAATAATAACCATGAACAATTCACAACTTTGTTAAAAACATAAGTATAAGTCTTAGAATAAATTCGTGATAAAACAAATAAATTCGTGATATAAATCAAAAATCGTCAAATAAATTCGTAATATATAAATTCGTGAAAAAAAACGCTTTCGACAAAATACTAAAATAGAGATCTATCGACAAAGACNCAAGGTTACGGAGTTGAACATGAGTTGAATCGGCAGTTCAAGGATGGTTATAAAATAAAATGTATCGATTATACTTTTAGAAATGTTTTAATCATGTTAAACCAGTATATCGTTTAATTTTTCTGACAGTTAATATAAAGGAAATTTCGTTACACTTTATATTACAGCTAAAATATTTAAAGTAGACGTAAACACAAGTTATAGTACGAGTATATAATTTTGAGTAAAAGAAAATTATTTATCAGAATTACCTTTATTATTTTGATAAGTCACCCAGTATCCAAGACAATGATTTTCATGTAAAAATGTCGCATTCAAAATGATAACCGGGATGATGATATCGCTTCTGTAGAAGCCACCGGGATGATCTTGAGGATGGATTGAAATGATGGAAGAAGCATTGGGATGGATGATGGGATCTGTGTTGAACACTGAGATTTTGTCCTCTGTTGCGGGAGAGCCCCCGAACCAATTTATTTCCAATTGTCTGTTGACGATTCCGTCTTCCGTTGTAGAAACGTAGAGGGAAGAAATGGTGAGAAAAACTCTTGTGTTTTCTCTCGAACTTTGAATCTGGTGACATCCTAAATTAAATATATAAATGAGTTCAATTAGTTTAACTCACATAGTTTAATTTAATGATTCAATATATATATCGAAAGAAATTCTAAAAAAATAATAACTCAGAGGAAATGGGTAAAAATAATTTGTGGAAGTATGCGAGTAGATAAGATTAAGGCTCTTGAGTTTTAAATCACACACTTTCCGAAAGCATGCGAACAGATGTTATGCAAATATTTTTCTTTTTTAAATTTCCAATGAGCGGCACAATCGGTCTTGCCGATGAGCAGACCTAGTGCGTTCTCCAGAGGTGGTATCCACTCTTTAAGGACCAGCACAATGGGTGAGATACCGTTGGTCATGTTAATTTGGACGTCTAGTTTCTGCCACACTAGATGGCATCACCGAGACTCTATTTGGATGCTAAAGTGCACTAGAAATTTAATTTTGCCGGAAATGCCAAGAGCCAATAAGGCACTCCAGGGATCTTTTACATGCCGCATAATCATATGACATGGTCGCTGAGGACTTTTTGCATCCCGAAAATCCGGTGTCTGGGCCGGGGATCGAACCCGCAGACTTGGGCTCAGAAGGCCGACGACAAATCAACTGCACCACCCAGCCTATTATACAAATATTACTGTACAGATATTAAAGTGCGAAAATTGCTTCACAATGAGCGAACCGGGTTCGAATTCTAGCAATGGCTGAGATTCGAATTCTGCACATGACTCGCACCGACCACAGTGCTGACGTGAAAGATCCTCAATGGTAGAAGGATCATGGGTCAGATTCCCCTTGCCACCAGGCTAATCGTGGGAGTCTTTCATGGTTTTCCTCTATATGTAAAGCAAACTCTATATGGTTAGTTCCATCAAAAAAACCTCCACAAAAGCAAATTTCTCCTAATACTTGATCCAGGAGTTCCATTGTCTTCTAAATTTATTTCAAATTTACGAGGCTACAGAGTTGAACTTTGGTGGTCGTTAACCGTAGATTGGGTCAGCTGTTCAGCAATGGTTATAAAAACTAAACAAAGCAATAACTTTACAAAACAATTTAATAAAATTCAGTGCTTCAGTACTTAAAACAATAGCATAAGAATCATAACATAAGAAACATAAGAATCATAAAACAATATATCATCAAATAATCATAAAACAATGTAGCTAAAAAAACGTATCTGAAATATTTATTTTCAATAAGTTCTCAATCAAACATTTAAACGTCTAATAAATATGAGAATATTAATATTTTCCAATTTTATTCTGATCAAAATAAGCTATTTAGTTCAACATAATTTTCCTAAGCAAAATTTTTTCAATGAGTGATAACGCATCAAGACAAATTATCCCTTCAATTTACTGATAAAATTACAATAAATCTCTCTAATTTATATTCGGAAATTTTATTGTGTTGCAGATGAAAAAAAAAACTTACTTTCTTTGATGGTATCGATGTAAGGTGCTTGACTAGATGAAGTGATGAAGACTAGAAAAATAAGAATGATACAAGACTTTAGAGTCATCTTTGGATGATATGTAAAAGCTGTACCAAGTTAACTGAAATAAAAGAATTTTATTATACATATGAACAGAATGGTATTTTGTGTCAATTATTTGCAATTAAAACCAAAAAGAAATGTATTATTCTTATAAATATCAAATTCTTAATACTTAAATAGTGTTTGAAGGTAATGATTCCCTTAGTTAGGATTCTCATTGATAAACTATAAAGTAAACTATAAACCGATAATATATATATAAAAAGATACAAATCGTGTTAGTTAAAATTATTCTGTACAAAAAGGATAGATAAAATAGTTTAATAGATAAAAGGGTTTGAAGAATTTAAAAAATATTATGATAAAAATTAACAACAAATGTATATTAAAAGTAAATATCACATCAAATTGATATTAAAAAGCGGTAGACTTTCAGAAGAAAAAAGAAAACATAGATTTTCCTTTAACTCATTGTACGTAACTTAAGTCTTCATCATCATTTAGTCTTCGGACATCAAATTTGTTGCAATTAACCAATATTCCTGCTTTTAATGTTATTATTATATAAAAAGATAATCATAACTTGAACTTCTTATGATGATTTAATTATAGAGATTTATAGAGAAATGAAATATTTTGAACTATATTTGTTGTCCTAAATTAAAACGGATTACTACTAAAAAAATAATTTTCAATATTTGTAAAAACAAATAATAATAATATATAAACAAAAAAATGGCTGCCTGATTAACACAATAATTTTGCTCAAAAGCACCTGAATTATCAACAATTCATTAATCTCCAAAAAACGCATAAATTAATAAAAATATTTTTTTTAAAAATGTAACAAATATCGCTATAGTTTAATAGAAGACTGTTTTATAAAAAAAATTAAAATTTTTATTAACCTTTTGGGATTAAAAACATTCAAAAGAAACTGACATAAAAATGAAATTTCTTGCAAAATATTTAACTGTCAAATCAGCCAGTTGGAGCTAAAAATGCCAGTTAAAAATACTAAGATGTTATATTGTAGGTACTACAAAAAAAAGACTTGCCTGCATCATAAATGAATAATTAAACATTTTATAATTCCTTAGTTTGTCTTTGTACGCACTGTAAATAAAATTCTACATCAAATTACAGTATGAAGTACAGGAACTTTGGGTGCATAATCCACAGTTTCCAATTTAGCGTATAATCCATTTTTACTGTAAAATATGATACTGTAAATTTTACTGTAATATTTATTTAATTCGAGCGATTCAGAGATTTTACGGTAATTATTACTATATAAATTACGTAAATCAGATTTTTTCCTCCGTAACATATTCCGGTAAAAAGTATCGCTACCACGAATGCCGGTACTTTTTACCTTATTTTGAACCGGAAAAAAACTAAAATTAGTGCAAAAATTTTTTAAAATTTACAGGACAATTATATTTTAAATGTAGAAGACAGAAGCCCTAAAAGACAAATTCCAGTTAATTCACCTTAATTTGTTAGATTGTAAAACACCATTAGATTTTAATTTCAAATTTTTTTTCGAGATTTCTTCTAACATTACTAGCAAAAATAAATTTGAAAACAAATTTAAGCATGTATATTTTTTCGAAACCAAAAACTTTTAATATGGAAAAATAAAAATTTTCACTTAAATAGTAGAAGCATATTTTTCGGATTTTAAAATTTTTAAATAATGACTCAAACAAGGTTTATGAGCACTATTTGCATGATACAAACTTATAAAAATTTCAGAGATATGCATATATTTTTAAAAAAAGTTTTAAAATGTGCCTTGGATGCAGTAAAACAACAAGCGTCCTAGTAATATTTCATTTACGTCGTGACTTTTCCGCTTTGATAGTCCGATTGATGGGAACTAATGACTTGATTTTCATTGCTTGATTTAGAGCCGTGTCTTACTATCAGTCCATTGTGGGACAACTATATAGCATTAATCTTATAGTACTCTCTGTGCTATTAAATTATTCCATATCGATTGCAGATACAAGTCTGCATTTCGCCTGAAACAGATATAGTTAACAGAATATATTCCTGATTTCAAAATTTGGAAATCGAAAATATTAAGCTTTGCTTTTCAAATGAAAAAATATCCATTCAAAAGGCATTTCTGCGTTTCGACTTAGTCAGTATTTGTTTTTTTCTTTTATGTTATTTTTTTCTTTGCCTTCGAATTTCTCACTACATAGATTAAAAATAAAAAAATGACAACATAATTAATACTGGGTAAGAATATACAGAAAAATGGCTATTAAACTTAAATAAATAAAAATTAATGTAGAGAATGGCGATCATGCATGACTGAGACAATGGTCCTTTACCTCAAAGAAACATTTTAAGGAATATGAAGCATTACCTACCTTTTTCCACCTGCAAAAATTAAACTATCGTCTCCCCTAAGGAAGGCATAGTACTACGGCATAGTACTAATTGAATTTATAGTACTGTTTTATAATTGTAACTATTAATTATATTCATAAATATTTGAAAAAAACATAATAAAACAATCTGTTACTATTGCCAGGTTGACAATAAAGTTTGCCAGCTCTATAAAAAAAATCATGACTGTTACATTATGTTATAAGATTACGTTTTAAGAAAATATATAGAAAAAGCAAATGAATATGCCTAAAAAATATTCCGCAGTATCTTCGTAAAAAGAAACTTTATTTATTTTTGTTCTTAAACTTTATTCATACGAGTATAAACGTATTTTCTTAAATTTTATTGAAAATGAATTAAAAAAATACTAAATAAAAAATAATGAATAAAAAATAATAAATAAATGCAAAATAAAAACACTAAATAAAAAGCACTAAATAAAAAACACTAAATAAAAAGCACTAAATGAAAAATAATAATTAAAAAATACTGAGTAAAAAATACCCTAATAAACATAATAAATAAAAAATAATAAATTATTAAACAAGTATGTAGATGTATATTAAAAAAAATTTTTTAATTCATTGAATGAAAATGATTTTGACGATACATTTTAAATTAACAATATATTTTTGAATGTATATCATGTCGCAAAGCATTTGCGGTAAATACATTAGGTACAAGCAAAGTAGGGTACTCGTTAACGCAGTAACTTAGGATTAGCAAATGTAAACAGAATATGATATTTTAAATAAAATTATCACGATATATATTCTTTACCACACTAATATTTAAATATGTAAAAAAGTTCAAAACATAATCAAAATAGTACTTACTGGTTATTACAGCTATGGATGTCAGACATAATAAAAACGCTATTAACATTTTCTTTATGAGAATCATAAAAACGGACAATAATCAAAGCGAAAAAACTCGAAGGTCGCAAAATGAAAACCTTACTGGTTAATAGGAAAGTTCCTTATAAACAAACGAATGAGGAAAAAGTACACAATAATTTAAAATCATATTTGAATTCAAACACACAACTAAAATCATAGCACGAGCGGACAATCGTGTAATCAAAAATTTGAGCAGTGTAAACATTTTAATTATTTACCTTTTTGGCAGGTGTCAAGAATAGGAATCGAAGACTTGTTTAGAGGATGAGATTAATGAAAACATGAGTAAGCTAGAAGCGTAATAAATTGAAGAACATAATCTTCAATCAATGGGTCTTCCTCTTTTATAGGGTGTGTTTTTGTTGGTGATTGCTATCGTTGCGAAATTTTATCTTATCGAAACTTTATCCACTAATGCTAATTTGACGTAGTGACGTATTTGTTTTATTCACCAAATAATAAATGACCGCAACGTGAGATTACTTTCGTTCTTTAGGATATTTTTGTTCCGCTTTCAATATGTCAGACGACTAAATAAAATGCATTTTAAATTTCGATATTTGTAATTTTCAATACATTAAATTACTATCAGAATGTTTAAAAGAAAATTTAAAAAATTTATTATTTATTAAATTTTTTTTTTAAATTTCTAGTTTTTTCGATATCTGTAATTTTGCTAATTTCGATGTCTGTAATTTTCAATACATTAAATAACTATCAGGATGTTTAAAAAAAGTTTATTATGTATTTAATTTTTTTTAATTTTTGGTTTTTTCGATAACTGTAATTTTGTTAATTTCGATATCTGTAATTTTCAATACATTAAACAACTATCAGACTGTTTAAAAAAAGTTTATTATTTGTTTAGTTCTTTTTTTTTAAATTTTTTTGAATATTTTGATTAAACAAACAATACTTATTTTAATTTTTATATATCATAAGGTTTCAAAGTGTGTACGAAATAAACGCAACAATAATATTTTATTAGAGCCTTTTTATTAAAATTTCATAAATTTTCAAGCATATTAATCAAATTAGTAAAAAATATTTTAATTTTTAATAATGGTGAGTTTAGATGTTGATGATGGTCGCCAAAATACTTTGAGTAGAAAGTATGTCTATTTAAAATAAATTGATCAAATGAGTAACACTATAAAAATAACTGTATAATCCTTTTGAAGAAAAAACAACACATTTTTACAGTAAAAAATGATTAAAGATAAATACGGATTTCTTTCTGTTTTTAAATCCCCGTGCAAAAATATTCTTGTTTTTTAACAGACCCTCTCCGTATATTAATCAGTTTGAAGCTGTTTTTCACAAAACGGTTTATCCTAATCATAAACGGTTAAACTTGTCAAGTCGAATTCTAAATTTTGCTATGCAGTTTCGCTTACCGTAAGAGTAATTCGGCATGCAGTTGTCTTTCTAATTGTCATTAAAATGGAAGATTTCGTAAATTGAAATATCTAATTAGACCACTGATCAATTATGCAAAATTATCCAACAATCTTTCTTCATTATTGCAAACCATGATTGTAGAAAAAAAGAAAACTTTGGAAATTCAACTTATAATTGTTCCTTTCTCCATACTGCGATTATCGTAAGATAACTTTACGATTATTTTCTATACTTTCGCTTACGTATAAATGAAAATTGCGATTCGACCAAATTGTTACTCTATCTGATTATTACTTGTCTTTAGATATTTTTCGGTAAGTTAAAGTACCGGATACTTTCATCAGTGTAAGCCAATATAGTTTTAAACCTTTTTGCACTTAATATGATTTCAATAAGTAAGACTTTCAGGTAAGCAAATACTTTAGTTACGTCACACTAGAGCAGCGCAGTAGGCTATTGAGATACATCTCTGAGAATGATCCGAAGACATGCCACTGCAATTTTGATCCTCTGCAGAGAGCATGCCTCCCCTTCTTTGGTAGCCCGACAACCTGCGAACGAAGTAGGGTACTTAAATCTAGAATAGCTTAAAGAGGATCTATACCGTGCACCCTCGGTCCCTACGCAGGCTGATCAAAGTGGTCACCCACCCGCTTACTGACAGCAGCCAGTGATCTTTGACTTGGTGTTTTACTGGGAACCGTGTCTTTATGATCAGTCCACTGTGGGACGTAAGACTTTTAAGATGAGAGTTGAGATAATATCTTCATATACAAACTCTAGAGCTGTCGTGGCTCAAGGGACAGAGATCTGAAATAAGTGATGCGGGTTCAAATAACGGCGTTGATTTGCCATGTGAATTCTGCTCTAGACTGCAATGCTGAAATAGTTTATTTTATGGAGTTGTTTTTTGTAGAATAACAGGGATTTTGTAAAAATAACAGAGATATTTTTTTTTGTTTTGTTAAAATAACAGAATTTGCTTATTAAAATAACAGTACTTATCTGCATAAAAAAAACAAGTGTCCGTTTTCACATAACAGTTTTTTTTATGTGAAATTAACGGTTTTATACAGGCACCTCAGCTGAAAGTTTTTTTTTTCTGCGAAATTAACAGATTTTATTTTTAACAGTGCACATTTTATTTTAAATTTCATAAGTGAAGTTACAAAACTTTGACTGCACATATATTTTTTAATATTTCTTAATATTCTCCAGTAAAAATTATTTGCCTAGCTTATCTATAAGATAATCGATCTCAAACTTTAACTGAATAACTTTATCGAACAAGAAAGAACGCTAGAGCATGAACCTGGTTTTAACATTTTTTGAGATAAAAAAAATATTCTTATATTCACATGTACTAAAATATTTGCGGAATGTAATGTAATTAAATGATAACTAAACAAACTCTAATGTTTCTTCTTTACATTGCGAAAACTAATCTTCGTATCTTATACTAAACGATACTTAAAAACTAAAACTTTGTATCTTATTTTAAATAGAAACTGATAAGTTGCGAATCATTCAGATTTACATATTGCTTATTGCAAGAACAACAGCTGATATCAGTATTATATGAGATATATCTATTATATATAATAATCACATGGCCGGTTCGTGCATTTATAATGGACGTATACGTCCATTGAAAATTCTTATAAAACTGAGTAGCAACATTCAATCTATAGATTGAACTCAGTTTTCCCATAAGAAGCCTAAATTTCTTTTTAAANATAAAAAATAAAAATTGATAATTTTATTTTTATTCTTTTGTTAGCTTGCATTCCGAAGGACACTTTCCTCTATATTTTTTTTCGTAAGCTGTAAAACAAGCATAAAATATACTGGGGACATGAAAATGACTGTTTTTGTGAGAATGACCCATATAATAATCACATGGCCGGTTCGTGCATTTATAAGGGACGTATACGTCCATTGAAAATTTTTATAAAACTGAGTAGCAATATTCAATCTATAGATTGAACTCAGTTTTCCCATAAGAAGCCTAAATTTCTTTTTAAATTTCAACATAAAATTGATAAAAGTATTTAAAAGTAATTGTTTTCTGTAAAATACATAGTTCTTCCTTACAGTTGGGTTCTTACAATCCTTACAATTGGATACTTGCAACTCTAAAAGAAGACTATTACTGATATATGGACACGTGACCTGTGATCTCAGAGCTAACTGATTGTTTATAAACAAGATGGAGTGCTATATCTCCCAATAAGTTAGAATGTCTAATGTTTGTTTCTCCCCATAGGTTAGAATAGTTATTAACGTGAAGTTAATTAAATACAACACCAGATCGGACAGCGAATTTGTAAGAATATGCATTCAAATATGCATGCAATCCTTCTCGTCTACTTCTTTAACTTAAATTAAATTTATTATTTGTTTATGTATTTTATTGTGACCGTGATATATTTTTGTTTTGTGTACCTGGCAACTTCGATGCATAATCAGTTTGTTTATGTTCTACATGGCTTCGTGCCTATCTTTGAGTAAAAAAAGAAATGCATATATATTAAAAATTAAATCTTTGTGATAGAATACAGAATGTGTCACTTAAGAGAACTGATACTTGACGGGCTTTTCTTACTAGAAATAGAATAGAAAAAACAGTGGATAACGTGAACAAGTGCCGCGTATTAACAACCAATAAGAATCGAAATCCATGCGCTACTTCACTTGTAGGTATCCCATTAATCAATGCTATTTTTAATCACTTTTGTTTAAATTTTAACTAACATATTCGTTTATATACAGAAAAAAGCGTAATAAATGAATTTCCAGCTTCAAATCGGGTTTTAACCAATGACAAGCTAAACCATACAATTAACTTAAATAATTCTCCGCTGTTATATTATTTCACTATTTTTAAAATTTTGTTTCAGCTTGTAGATTCTGCAAACCATTTCAGATATTTTTATAAAAGTTAAATAAAATACAGCACTGAGAAAAATAATTAGTATCAAAACTATCCTTATATGGTAAAATTACCGATAGCGATACACTTTAAAGAAATAATAAAATAAAAAAATAAAAATAAAAGGTATCATAATTCAATTACACACCGAATAATTTTTTATAGACTATAGGATTATAGGTAACGTTCACAATTACCTTAATAAACTTCATTTATGAAGTCGGGATTCCACCGAAATAAATTTGATTATTTAGGATTCTGTAGCCGAAAACAATGGACAACCGCTGCTTTAAGGTATCACGAGAAAATTACCAAATTTTAACACATATTATAAAACTACATTTTATTGCTAATTTTACCAAAATTATTAAAAAAGCGTTTTCGTGAAAATTACCCCACAGGGCCAGAAACACACTAAACTTTACCATATTCTGGTAGCTGTCACCATACTTTTTTCCTCAGTGTATTAACATATCAATTAGTGTTGATAATACAAATGGTGTATAAAGATTAAATCTTAAATTGAGGTCAGAAAACTTACCGATATAGAGAAAGTATGAACTGCATGTTGTCAGCATTAATGTAACTAGGCAATATTGCATTAACATTAATAAGCGTGCTACAACCATATTTGAATTAATTAAGCCGCTTTTCCTCTTTTGAGAATTAGTTCTTAAAACCCCCATATTCAACAATGACTTGAGAAATTCCGTCTCTGTTGATTCGTCAATAAAGTACAACTACAGAATGACAAAACAGATTTCACATCGGGATATGCTTTATCAGAATAAATTTATCGTTTAT